AAGCTTTTTTTAAACAAGAAATAAAATATCAGATGGAAGCAGTGTCTTTTAAAAAAAATCTGATTTCTCTATTTGTCTCATTGTATTGAAAATTAAGTAAATATTATTTATATTATTCACACAGAATGATCATTTAACTTTTATGAGACCTCATGCATCAACAGGAGCCACATCTATTATGTTTTGCATTCCCTTTTAATATCCTTTTTTAAAATTATATTAAATAAATAGTTTTAAATGGTGTTATCACTGACTTAAGCTAAAAAAAAGCTTTAATATCCTACTGACAAAACAATAATTAAATGCATCATTTAGACTACACACTGGATGTCCTGAGGATGAGTAAATTAGCAGTGCATGTTCATTTTCAGCTGAACAATCTCTTCAAGTCCTCATAGCTTTTTTTTTTTTTTTTTTTTTTTTTTTTTTTTTAATGTATAACATTTCGGAACTCCTGCCACATCATGGTGTAACTGGCATTCATCAACCATGCTAACCATCCACATGAGAAATGTCTTTCCATACGCTGAGGATTTTTTATTTTTTTTGCTTGTCTGACATTGTGACAGAAGAGCTGCAGTAAGACTTTTACCTGTGTGTCCATGGTTTTTGCTCTGCAGTGACACTCTCCAGGGAGCCAGGATGGCTTGAGGGTGTGCTGGAGGGAAAGCGAGGACTCATCCCTGAAAACTATGTGGAGATACTGTAACTCCGAAAAGAAAGCAAAGGAAAAAAAAATCCTCACACTTCTCTTTATATACATGGTATCCATGGTCTCGGCGGCTCTTTCACAACAGCACTGCTTGTCGCTCCTCCATCTTTGTCCACATCGAAGGGGTTTTTATGCTGTATCCAAACAACGCAGATATGTTGCTAGCACAGAAAATGAGTTCAAGTATAAGCTAAGCTGTGCAGTGTGTGTATTAAAGAGGCTACGTTTTTTAGAGATTGGAAATGTAAATATGGTTTTGCATGAGGAAGTATTCATCCTTCGTTGTGACCGTCCGCTTTTAAAGTTGCATGTCTGATGATTTTAGTTTGTAGTTTGGAGTTGTTCAGCGTTCAGTTAAGATACATTGACTGTCTTTTTATTTAATATTATCAAGTCGCGTTCAATTAGGCATGTATTGCAGTAAATTTAAGTGTAACGTTATGACAGTGCAGTGACCATTATCGCTTTGGTAAAATAAGTAAACTATTTTGCTTCTTGGAACACTTTTTGAGATATACATAGCAGCTGATATTGATATTGAAATGCGATTTAGTAAATCATTCGCATTTATAAAACTGATGCTGTGCCTTATGTTTAAATAGCGCATGGCATGCAAGACGCTGTTCGAGAACTCAGATATTTTTTGATATTCTGTCTATAGGTTTAATACAAAAGAGGAAGAAAGAAACCTGGAAAACAAAACAAACCATGCAGTCCCTTCTAATATAATATTGCCAAGTCTTACATTTGTGTTGTGTACAGTACATAGAATAATTTGTGTCTCTTCAAAGCCAAGCACTTTCCCTCTTTAAGTGGATAAAAGGTTTAAAGTTACCACACACTCTTTGCAGAGACCTTCACTGATTTCACTGATGTTTAATGAGTCCGTTTTCATTTTTCTGAGAGCCCTGGTTCACGTTTGTGACTGAGCACATCTGCGGTGATTTAAGACAGTGATTAATGACCTCTGCAAAGGTCTTGGCATTGATATCATTTTTTTTGTGATGTTGAATCTCTTGTTGATCAATGTTAAATAAATAAAATGTTTTATTCTTATTCTTATATCTTGCTTTTATTTCCATGCCAAACTAAGTGTTTCTACATGATGACAACCATATTCTGCAGTGCTCTCTGGACCCCCAATGTGCTTGCTGTGAAATGAACTAAAACATTTGTGATACAACTGATGATAAAAAAAAAACAATGTACAAAAATAATATAAAAAATGTGTGTGTGTGTGTGTGTGTGCGCGCATGCCCAGCATAATTAAGTACAGCTCTAACAGATCTCTCTTTTAAATTAATACTTGCTAAAGGACGTTATACTGTACAATTTCTATCTATACATTGGATTGTATTAGTACTGTATGTAGTATGTACAGTATGCTTGATTGTATGTAGTTAGTACCAAAACTAGAACTATCTAATTTAACAAAATAAGATCACAGGTAAAAAAAAATACAGTAGTACACTGAATAAATATGTTAGGTAAAATATAATGTGACATCTCAATGAAGAAAAATGATTAAATTTTAAAATTATTTTATAGTTTATATATATATATATATATATATATATATATATATATATATATATATATATATATATATATATATATATATATATATATATATATATATGCTATTTACACATTTTGTGGCATTTCATCTCCATCATGTATGCAAATTGCTAGAATTCACATATTAGCCCCGAAATGCTGTTAACTGAGTGATCCTGTAATGTGAACATAAACAACATCTCTGAAAGTAATATGCTCCCAAGTTTAATGCAAAGGGAGACATTGGCTTTTGCAGAGTTTGCCAAGCAAAACCCATAGCAAATGATCTTTGAGGATTACAAAAAATACATCCAGGTTAATGATGTCAGAAACCTCTTCTATGTAGCTAAGGGGTGTGGCCAATGGCGTTGTAATGTTATAGCAGAGAAGGCTAAAATGCTGTCCGAACTATTGCTATTTTCACTAAGCTTTTTCAGTTTCAGCATTTGGACTTCTAAAGGAGATGACACAAAGAGAGAAGTGCTTACAGTTTAATTTTAGTTATGTTTCAAAGAATCTAAAGAAAAATATAGCTCAAGAATTTGACAAAGGAGAGCTTCCAGAATCTCTTCCAGTTCAGTGTTGAATTCGGCTAAAAACTCCTCAAAGAAGGAGCAGCTCCAACCATAATAAAAGAAGCTGTGGATTGTGAGTTACAAACTGTAAGTATTTAAATTTTTTTTAAATTAAATGCACAGCTTTCAGTGTTAACGGTTTGTTGTAGCAAAGACGTAAAACGCTGTTTGGCACCGCTAACAATTTAGCTACAAATTCATATTTATCAGTCAAACCCCTGTAAACACCCACAATCTTCACCAGCGCTCCATTCTCTCTCAATGTGGCCACTTTCCCTGCATTCTACATCTCAAATAACAAACTCTCAAAAGATATGTAAACGTTTCATATTACTTACACATACTTATTTTGAATATATGTGAAGGACGCTTGTCAGATTTAATTTTAGAGAGCAGGTATGAAGTTCAGCTGTGTCTTCTGTGTCATTTCTGTCTGATTCAGGCTCAAACTGATACGGCTGCTACACCGACTGACAGTATTTAAACAACAGAGGCAAAGCGAGTGCTAATAGTGATGTGACGTAGAGCCAATCTGTAATTCACAGCATATTATGTTAGCTGACCAATCAGAGCCTCTTGAGGGCCGGCCTTTCGGGGGAACTAGGAAATTTGACAGTCGTTTTGATGTTAGCTGTGTAGCTGTATATAATTAAAGTACGATATGAATAAAAACACATTATTTTGCACCTCATTAACACAACCAAGCTTTAAAAAAATAAGGGCCATCCCTCAAAACTCGCAGATTCCACTTGCTGGAAATCTAATTAGGTTAGTTATTTGTGGTACTGATACACTGTACACTGTACACTTGTGGTACTGTTATTTTTTTTTTCTTCTGTGGAATCTGCAGTAACTTATTGTTAATCACAGCAAAAATACTGTATTTACAGTGTTGTAATTTACTGTAGAAAATACAGTAATTTTTTCAATGCAGCTGTAAAATACAGTAACATACAGCATAACAGTGGTACAGTAAAATTCAGTTCATTTTACAGTTAAATACTGTGTAGTTAAAAAAAAAAAAAAATTAACAGTGAGTGTGCTTCAGTGCTTTGTGCTTGAGTCAAACTGCCTGTCAGCATTTTTAAGGGTTTATTGTCTTTATAAATGGGTTAATGTTTAGTATTCTGGCTGTTTCACCTCAATGCTAAGTTTCAAATAAAAACTAAAAATAATAATAAATTGCCAACGAGATATCAAAAATATTGTTGTAATGTATTGTTACTGCATTGCCTCTCATCAAATGTGAGATTTACAGTCTTCTCATCTGCATTCTGTCATGTATAAATGAACTGTTGTCTGCTGCATGCATTGCATTTAAAGTATACTGGGCTCATTCTCTCTCCCACACACTTCTAGCCCTGGAGCAGCTCTGCAGCTTTTACATTGAACCTCTTCCCGTTTAAGTGGATTAAATCCTCATTTCCTAGCAGATTTGGACTGCCTCCTCACATATTGGGCTTGAACTGGAGCACACTGCAGTCTAGGTCCTTAGCATACTCTGGATGGAGCGCTTGAAAACAAATTATTTAAAATTAAAGTGGACTATTTTGTTGGTGCAATGGTTAGCGCACACACTGTGAATAAAGCAGCTGGGTCTAGTTTAGGTCATTTCCTGTTTTTGTGCCCTTTCATGACCATGTCATACACACACACATGAAATGTTTATATTTCCTGCAGCATATAACTACTTTTTTCAAGTGCTCTTACAGGGATTTTTTGTATGTGTGTGGTTTCTGATCTTGTCAACACAAAACCTTCGTAACCCATTTTACTTCAGTAAAATATTTACTGTTTACTCATGTTATTTAATATTCATCGTTTACTCGTGTTACCTCGAACTGGGTTTCGGATAGGATTAAAAAAGAATTAGTTAACTTTGCTGTAAGAAAATGACAGATTTTCACAAAATGTTATTGTAATTTTCACAGTAAATTACATTAGTATCACTTTACAGGTTTTAACTGTAAGTATTCACAGTAATGTGTTGTGTACAGAATTCAATTGTGAAATGAATTAAATTAGCATGATTACTGTATAAAGGGCTTTATCTTTTGCATGTTCGTTAGAGGAATTCAAACTCTTTTTATTTCATTCAACATAAGACATTAATACAAATGAACTTGTATGCTAGTATTGGCACATTTTTGAGATTTAGAATTAACAGACTGTTATTGCAGCCCCAAAAACTATATGATTACATCTTCAAAAATATCTCATCCTGTTTTGAAACGGCATGAATGTCATAGTAAGTTTTCATTTTTGAGTGCACTGCATCTTTATTTATTTTTTTAAGGTTAACATGAAAACATAAAATAATTTTTAATGAACATAATTTAGAGCTTAACCAAAACACAGTAAACTGAAACAAAAGTAATTCATAAAACCAAACACTGTTAAAATGAAGTCCAAAATGAAGTCAGGGTAAATGTCAGAATGACTATCTGAGGAAAGCCTGCTTCACATTAAAACATAGTTAATTCTACAAGATAATACTATGAAATCACAGTAATGGACTTTACTACTGTGAAGTTACAATATATGGCTGTCATTTCATTGTAATTTAATGTAACAAATTCACAGTAAATTACTGTGAACTACCTCACAATAATTTGTTGTGAATTTGCATGCAGTATTTAATTGTGAAAGTAATGCAATTATTAGCCAGTAATTTGTTGTAAATTTCAGGTCAAATATTATTATTATATTATATTATTATTATTAGTAGTAGTAGTAGTAGTAGTAGTAGTAGTAGTAGTAGTATTTTTATTATTGTTTGTTATTATTGTTATTACTATTATTATTTTTAAAAGAATAAGTTAAAATATCATGTTTTTATTATTATTTTTATTATTGTTATAATTAATATTGTTAATATGTTTCAATTAAAAATGTGTTGCAGAAGAACAGTACTGTTACATTCAGATATGATGCTTGCTATTGGTTTAACCTATGTTTTTAAAATAAGATGAAACCACAGAATTCGTGAGGTTTTTTTTAGAAGTTTAATTGTTTGATGATCAATCACTTAAATTTTAAAGTTAAATTAATTCCTTTATATTGTCCCAACACAAATCGATTTTGTAGAGCCCAGCATTTTTATAGTGTACAAAGTTATGAGAAAATGAGGATAAGTTATGTAATTTCTTTAGAGGAAAGTCCATCGCTCCGTATAACATTTCATGTAGCTATATGATCAAATCAGATCTGTTTGAAAACAGGCTAAACACAAATTAATTGTTAAATAGATGAAATAACATTTCAGATTGACAGTAATGCTTAGTTACAATCAAATAGAGCTGTAATTCTTTCTGTCTTTGAGTTTCTTCTATTAACAGGAATACAGATTTACTGTCTTAGTGTACATATGTTTAGTTAACTATCTATTTTTTTAGTAGATAGCTTTATATTGACCATGTTGTGTCAAACTGAATTTCATATTGTGAAAGTTATTTTTATTTGATGCCAGTTCAATTCTCCTATTCACATATTTTTTTTTTATATGAGTCATTGCAAGGTAATTTGTTAGAGAAAATATTAAAATTTAAAGGGATAGTTCAACAAAAAAGTAATATTATCTTATCTTTTTTTTTCTCTCTCATGTGGTTTTTCTTCAGTTGACCACTAAAGAAGATAATTCAATGAATGCTTGTTGCTGGATACAATGTTACAATGTTACCCATTCACTCAAATTCTCTTACTTTGTTTTTAACAAAAGAAACTCAAATAGGGTTGGAACAAGTCAAGGGTGAGTAGATTATGGTAGAATTTTAAGTTTGGGCTAACTATCCATTTAAGTTATTTTTGATTTTTGTTTTATTTATTTTTAAAAATTTTTTGCCCTCTCTAGGTAAGTGTACTTCATAGCTTTGTGCATGGGTCAAAGTGCCTGACTGCATTTTAAAGGTTTAATGTTTTTTATAT